TCCCTCTGAGATTCCACAGTCTGTCTTTGCTTGAGGATATTTTTTAAAATAGATTTTAGAGAGAGAGGAAGGGCCGGGAGAGAAAGAAGCATGATTTGTATGCCCCGACCAAGAGGGAACCCACCACCTAGGTATGTGTCCTGACCCAGAAATTGAACCCACAACCTTTTTGGTGTACGGGACAGTGCTCCAACCAACTGAGCCACATGGCTGGGCTAGAATACTTTTTATTGAGTGCCCAGTACTCCATTTTTAGGACCAAACATGGCATTCCAGAAGAGTTTCCTGATTCTCTTTCTGAACAAAGCATATTTTTTTTAAATTGAGTAAGGTTTTATATATGTGTCCTTATGTCTATGTCCATTGGTTATGCTTATATGCATGCACACAAGTCCTTTGGTTGATCTCTCTCCCTTATCCCAACCCTCCCCTGCCTTCCCTCTGAGGAAAGCATCTGATCAATGCTTCTCTGTCTCTGGGTCTGTTTTTGTTCATCAGTGTATTTTCATTATAATCCACAAATGAGTGAGATCATGTGATATTTATCTTTCTCTGACTGACTTATTGAGTGGCTGCCTCCTGCACGTCTTCTACTGAGGATCAAGCCCGTAACCCAGGCATGTGCCGTTAACCAGAATCTAACCTAGGATCCTTCAGTCCGCAGGCTGACGCTCTATCCACTGAGCTAAACCAGCTAGGGCAAGATCCTTGTTTTTTACAGCAGTGTAGTATTCCATTGTGTAGATGTACCACAGTTTTATAATCCACTCATCTACTGATGGGCACTTAGGCTTTTTACAAATCTTAGCTATTCTAAATTGTGCTGCTATGAACATAGGGGTGCATATATCCTTTCTGATTGGTGTTTCTAGTTTCTTGGGATATATTCCTAGAAATGGGATTACTGGGTCAAATGGGAGTTCCATGTTTAGTTTTTTGAGGAAGCTAGATACTGTTCTCCACAGTGGCTGCACCAGTCTGCATTCCCACCAGCAATGCACGAGATTCCTTTTTCTCTGCACACTCACCAACACTTGTCATTTGTTGATTTGTTGATGATAGCCATTCTGATAGGTGTGAGATGGTACCTCATTGTTGTTTTGATTTGCACAGAGCCTATTCTTTAAAGGAAATGAATCAAGTCTGATAGACATTTTTGCAACTCTTAACTTCATAAAGTAAATATATATAAGAAGAATGAGGAATTAAATTAATAGAATTGTAGAATTTTATTTTATTTAAAAGTGACCAAATAAGCAAAGAGTGGTCACACGCTTAGTGACAGAACTAAGACTCCATCTATTCTGGAATCTCCTTTATGGCCACAGGTAAACTGAAGAAATGAAGAGTTGCAATTGAAAAAAAGAAAAAAAAAACCCACTTGAAAATACTTAGCCTCAGTTGTATAATTTGACAATTCAGCCATTGTCTTTATGAGGTTTGGGCTACTAATATGTCTCTCTGCTGTCATGTCAGGTCTTACTTTGGTGTCTGCTCCCCATTTGGCACGGTCTTACCATCATTTATTTCCTTTGGATGCTTTTCAAGAAGTTCCCCTAGAAGAACATAATGGCGAAAGGTATATGCATTTTGATTAATTTATAAGAGGTAATGTTTGAATATATTGTTACTACATTTTAGTTATATTAACCTGGGCAAAATTATTTCTTACTTTAAAAAACAAGATGTATAATGCCTTGGTTATGACTGAAATAACTCATTAAATAGATCTGGATCTCCAGAAATCTATTAGTTTCCCTAAACCCATCTATGTGGTATACTAGTAGACCAGCTCTCCAAAAATAAAAAAATAAAAAAAGCCTTGATTTTTAGCATTTGCTAATTTCCATGGGGTAAAACTGGAGAATTTGTCCAGAAGGTCTAATGTCAGAATAATATGAAAATAAAGAAAAGATCAAATGAAGAGAAGAGAAATACTTGAAGGGCATTTTCTACTATTAATGAAAAAAACTTTGTGGATTGAAAGGACTATTGAAGGAAAACACCAACACTAAAGTATATAATTGTGAAATTTCAGCATATGAAGCGAAATCTAAACATTTCTGAAAAAAAAATTAGGTCACATAATCTGGAATTAAAAGTATTTGGCTTCTCATCAGTAACACTGGATACTGACAAGGAGCAATTTCTTTCAAAATTTATAGTGAAAACTATTACCAACCTAAGTTATATATCCAGTCAAGATATCAATTAAATGTAAGTAGGTAGAATAATAAAGGTATTTTCAGACTTGTAAGGTCTCAAAAGAGATTTTCTGAGGTAGTTGTAGAAGAGATGCTTCAGAGGAACTGGGAATAAATGAAAGAGAATAGGAATATCTATCTAATTCAAAATTGGCTAAGGAAAAGCCTACAATGATGATAAATGGAAACCCCAGAATGTCTCTTGTATGTCGTATAGAGATTGATCAGTCCAGTTTGGAGAAGGTCAAAATGTTCCAGGAGAAATGTCACCAAGAGGACAAAAGCTGTATAATTCCTGATGTGGTTGCACATAATGAGAGGATCTTTAGAATTCTCAGGGAAAGTTTGGGGCTGAGGTAATGGTTATTCCATAGAAAACTAAGCTTGTGGATGGCTATAATAATTAGGAAAAAATGTTTTAAATGATTTTTTAAATATGTTTTTATTGATTTTAGAGACAGGAAGGGAGAGAGAGAAACATCGATCCGCTGCCTCCTACATGCCCCCTACCAGGGATTGAGCCCATAACCCAGGATGTGCCCTGACCAGGAATGGAAGCAGCGATCTCTTGGTGCATGGGATCATGCTCAATTAACTGAACCACACTGGTTAGGGTGAGGAAAATATGTTTCAAAGAGAGAAAAGTTATATTACATGTCTCAACTGAATGTTTATATAGTTATAATAAACTAAATATTTAATATTGTTCTACCTAAGATGATTTAACTATATAGAATTGAGAATGACGTTAGTTATGCATGTACATACTATTGGTTCAAGAGGGTAAAAGAGAATTAAATGCTCATCTTCCGTAGTAAGAGGTTCATAACTAATGCCTATGAAAAAGCTAAGAGATAGCACTCTATGCATAGGTAACTATTAGACAAAAGTTTTGAAGGTGTTTGCTCTGGGGAACTGGAAATGAAGTGTGGGGTGGATAGACAGGGAACTGTTATTTTTTGTAATAAGTTTTGAGAATTATTAACTCTAAATCATTCCTTGAAAATTAAGCCTATGAGCATCTATTATAGGTAATAACTCCTCTCCTATTTATCTAGAATTGTACCAGCTGTCTATATCTTTGGGAGGGGTGAAAAATAGTCGCTTGGATCATTTTCTGTAGGGTTTAATTCCCTTGTACAATCCCAATTGAGAAAGCATCTCATGTTTAACCTTGACGAGAATAAAAGTACTTTTTTCTTTTTGCTGTTTTTAAAACATCACATTTATTGCTTAGATGATTTGGTACAGAACAGCTTTTCTTCTCATTTTGAATTTGGAAATACTATACAGATGAATACAAAGAGGAACAAAAGCACCAAAACCGGCCGAAATCGGCTTGGCTCAGTGGATGGAGCATCAGCCTGCGGACTGAAGGGTCCCAGGTTTGATTCCGGTCAAGGGCATGTACTTGGGTTGCGGGCACATCCCCAGTGGGAGATGTGCAGGAGGCAGCTGATCGATGTTTCTCTCTCATCGATGTTTCTAACTCTATCTCTCTCCCTTCCTCTCTGTAAAAAATCAATAAAATATATTTAAAAAAAAAAGTACAAAAACCAAACTTATGGTTCTCTTCACGTGGCATAAGCCACTTCTATAGATAACATGTTGCAGTAGTTTATAAGTTCCCTTTAGAAAACATGAAATCTATACATTTATATTGCCTCCTGTTTAATGCATGGGCTGAAATCACTAGGATCAACTTCTTTCTTAAAGAAAAGTAAATTTTTTTATTTTATTTTTTTAAAATATATTTTATTGATTTTTTACAGAGAGGAAGGGAGAGAGATAGAGTTAGAAAAACATCGATGAGAAACATCGACCAGCTGCCTCCTGCACATCTCCCACTGGAGATGCGCCCGCAACCCAGGTACATGCCCTTGAACGGAATCGAACCTGAGACCCCTCAGTCCACAGGCCGACGCTCTATCCACTGAGCCAAACCGGTTTCGGCTATTAATTACATTTTATAAGTGAGATCATGTGGTATTTTTCCTTCATTGACTGGCTTATTTCACTTAGCATAATGCTCTCCAGTTCCATCCGTGCTGTTGCAAATGGTAAGAGTTCCTTCTTTTTTACAACAGCATAGTATTGCATCGTATAGATGTACCACAGTTTTCTTTTTTTGGGGGGGGGGATTTTATTTTTATTTTTTTATATGTCCAAAGAGGCACTTATTTTTTTTTTTTAATTTCTTTTTTTTTAATTAGTTAAAGTATTACAAATGTGTCCTCATCCCCCCCTTAAGCCCCAACCCCCCCCCCCCCAAGTAAATTTTTTTTGAAGTATGATTTTGGGCTGACTGTTAGATGACTGAATTTACCATGGAATATTTTAAATTACTGGTATTCTTAACTCTTTCTCTTAAAAGTCATGTGTAAATAAATTGTAAGATTACTTATTAATTAAAGTATTCCATTAGTGAGCTTTTGCTGAACTATTTTAATGAGTTAATTCTAAACAAAATGATTCTTAAACTTTTTCAGATTTTGTTATGGATGTCAGGGGGAATTGAAAGACCAACATGTAAGTTTATGTACTTTCTAAATATTAAGTATTGTACAAGAAATATTAAAGTTTTCAGTAGAGTATTGAAGAGCAAACTCCTATCAGGATATTCCTCAGAAGTATAATAATAGATAGAGATAAAATGGAGCATAATAGTTTAAACATTTATTTGTCATTTTGCATTCTAATTTTGCTACAAAGATATTTTAGTACTTTAACCCCTTCCCCGGCAGAAACGTGTATACTCGTTTTCACAAAATGTTCTTTTTCAGTCGTCGACGAGTATACTAAGAAAATATGGTAAAAAAATATGGTTTATAGGAAGACGAGTTACAAACTGTTTTCATAACCAGCATCAAAAATACTATATAGAACCAAAATAAAAAAATTAGTCTGAAAAAGAAACGTTTTTAACAAAAAAATTGTTGGGGAAGGGGTTAAACTGTCTTTAGTTTGCAAGCTAAACTGCATTTAGTTTGGAAATAGTAAACATTTTTTCTCTGTATTGTGGTTTAAGTGCTGTCATAATACATTTTGAAGTGAAGTTACCACTTAAGATGGCCACAGATCAAAGGTTATTCCCCCATTTGGCCAATAAGAAAACATTTTTAAATTTTTTGAAAGGGGCCAATTTGAATGTATAAATTTATATAAAGACACAAGTAAGATAGGTAATTGTCTAGTTTCAATTTTTTATTAATTTACTTATTCATATTTAAAACTGTGCTATCTAATAAAAGAGAAACATGGTAATTAGCATATGTCCGCTACCCTTCCCATTGGCTAATCAGCGAGATATGCAAATTAACTGCCAGTCAAGATGGCGGCCGGCAGCCAGGCAGCTTGAAGCTGAACATGAGGCTTGCTTGCTTCAGTGACAGAGGAAACCAACGTTCCCCGCCTGCCTTGCCGGCCTCTGAGCT